GCATGAAAGTATCCTTCTTTTGTTCATGATTCACAGATTTGGTTTTTCCGTAGTGTTCTATAGATATCAAATGCTCTGTTTGTAGTTTCTTTATCTTGGTCATTGTCTGAATGCTCCAATTGCTCTACATTGTCTTCAAGTTCTGACATTCTGTTTTCCCCTTCATCCACTACGTTGGTGAGACTTTTCATGGAGTGTGTTTGTGTTGCATGGATGTGAATGTGGGGTGTGCATGCATGCACACACATAGGCCAGAGCAAGACATCAGATATATTCTATTACTTTCAGACTCACTGCTTTAAGACAGGATCTCTTACTGAACTTGAAGTTCACTTTTTTTGGTAGATACCCACCAGTGCTGTAGTTACAAGCACACACAAGCACGCCCAGCTCTTTACATGGTGCTGAGGATTCAGACTCAGCTCCTTGAGTCATGCTTGCAGAGCACTGCTCTTCCTCACTATGCCATCTCCTCAGACCCATATGGAACTTTTATTCAACTATTGAGTTTCACATTTCCATTATTTCAGTTTGGTATTCTTCAATATTTCTGTGTCTTTGTTGGATTCCACCTTCATATCCTATATTGAATTTCTTATTTCATTCACTTGTTTGTGTTCTCTAGGAATTCATTCAGAAATTTGTGTCCTCTTTGTTTTTTTTAATATGCTTATAATCATTCTTTTTAATTATTTGAGATTTTGTCTAATTCACTCTCATTGGAAGCCATTAATTTGTGAATTGTTCATTTTTGGAGGAGTTGCACTTGTAGGGTTAAAAGGGCCAAGGAAAGCACATCCTGCCCCTAAGACCTGAGACCTGGACCGGAGGAAAACACCTTGACTTTGACTTGACCCCAGGACCAGGGTTTGAAACCCCACCAATCCCTGAGCTTGCCCCAGAGTCAGGCTACAAAATCCCACCAATCCTTGAGATCCCCAAGTACAAAATCCCACTAACCCCTAAGCATGAAATCCCACCAATCCCTGATCTTGCCCCAGAATCATACCACAAAAATCCATTAGTCCCAAGCCACCCTGGAAAGCTCAGCCTCCAAGAAACCCTGTATAAGCTCTGTACCATGTTCAGTTTGGTGCTTCTCCTCACCCTAGAGGCAACTACCCTCCTAGATTCTTCCTTCCCAATAAATCTCTTGAGTAAGGTTTGTTCTGTGGTGTGACATTTTTGCTGGAGTGGAGCCCAGTTGTAACAATTTTTGAGCCCAGCTATAACAATTTTCGCTAGAGCAGAGCAGAGCAGAACTGTAACCTGTTTGCTGGGGAAGCTTTTCCCTAGGGGAGCAGAGCTGTAAGAACATTGTAACAACTTTGCTAAGGAAACCCTCCCCTGCCTGGGCAGAGTTGTTACATTGGGGAAATCTTTTCCTGGAGCAGAGCTGTAAGCTCCTATGCTTATAATGACTGTGGTATTCCTTGACTCCTGGCTGCCAGGATATATTTCCATAGGAGCTGCAATGCTTACAGCGTTGTTTTTGATTTTTAAGGTTTCTTTGTTTTGCTTTGGGACTTATGCATCTAGGGTCAGGTGGTTGGTTGGATTGCTTTTAATCACTCACATTCTTTCAGGGGAAGTTATCAGCATTCAATTATAGACTCAGGAGTTAAACACATACTTCTTCCTGATTCTTTTTTGTCTGCTTAATTTTGGGAGGCTACCAGCATCTACCTCCATTTTCTTTCTTGGTGCTTTGACCTCATAATCCTATACATACTATAAATGGGTAATTAATAATACATCCTTTGTTTTCCCTCGGGGATTCTTTCTTTCTTTCTTTCTTTCTTTCTTTCTTTCTTTCTTTCTTTCTTTCTTTCTTTCTTTCTTTCTTTCTTCTCTCTCTCTCTCTCTCTCTCTCTCTCTCTCTCTCTCTCTCTCTCTCTCTTTCTTTCTTTATTTATTTATTTTTTGGTTTTTTGAGACAGGGTTTCTCTGTGTAGCTTTGTGCCTCTCCTGGAACTCACTTGGTAGCCCAGGCTGGCCTTGAACTCACAGAGATCCACCTGGCTCTGCCTCCCGAGTGCTGGGATTAAAGGCGTGCGCCACCACCGCCCAGCACGGGGATTCTTTATTATCACTGACTATTTTCTAATAATGTCTGGAAAGTATTATTTTATATATTTCCTTAGGTTTTAGTCAGTTAAGGTGGAAGAGTCACTATGAGTCTTGCTACTCCATTTTGATCAAAGTAGAAGTTCAGACCAGGGATTTTATTGGTTTGTCTGTCTGTTTTTAAAGATGTGTGTGTGTGTGTGTGTGTGTGTGTGTGTGTGTGTGTGCATTTGTGTTGAAGCACACATGCATGTGTATAGGACTGACAGAAACCAAAAGAGGATGTCAGATCTCCTGGAGTTGCAGTTATGGGTAGTTTTGAGCCTCCCCAGTGTGGGTTCTTGGAAATGAAGTTGGATCTTCTTGAAGAGCAGCTGTAGCATGAATTGTTAGAAGGTCTTATTAATAAAACAAACCTGAAGCCATGTATTGGGGTGAATGCTGGAAGATCAGAGAGACAGAACAAGCCACAGCTACCTCACCTTGTCAATTCCTCAGCTGATCCTGTTTCCTCAGACTGGAAGCCTCTGAGTCCTTATCCAGAATGAATCTCAGCTGAGCTGCTGCTAAAAGCCTAAAAGCTTAACCAGCTCTAGTTCCTTGTTTTCATGCCTTATATACCTTTCTGCTTTCTGCCATCACTTCCTGGGATTAAAGGCATGAATCACCATGCCTGATTGTTTCCAGTGTGGCTTTGAACTCACAGAGATCCAGATGGATCTCTGCCTCCCAAGTGATGGGATTAAAGGCGTGTATGCCACCATTTTCTGGCCTCTATGTCTATCTAGTGGCTGTTCTGTCCTCTGATCCCAGATAAGTTTATTAGGATGCACAATATATTGGGGGACATAATATATCACCACAAGCAGCAAGAAGTCTTAATCACCGAGACATACTGCCAGGCCCCCTAGATTAGAGATTCTTCAGTATAGGCCTAGAGTGATATTCATAAAACAATTGGAATGTGGCTGAAAGTTTCAGTAATCAAGGCTGTTGCCTAGCATCAGATCTTACGAGTTCTATTATTATTATTATGTCTTATTTTCTGTTTGTTTTCCTCATGACTGTTCTTGTTGGTTTTTAAATATTTGTGTCGTTCCCCCACCCCAAATTTTATGTTATTTGAAAGTCCTTTGGTATGAGAACAACACTTTAACTTTTTTAAATTACATTTTGTTTGTAGTGTGTGTGTGTGTGTGTGTGTGTGTGTGTGTGTGTGTGCACATGTGCCACAGCACAAGAGTGGTGGTGAGAGAAAACTGTGTGCGAGTTGGCGTTCTCCTACCATGTGCATAATATGGGGATCAAACTCAGGTGTTTGGCTTGGTGGCAGCTGCCTTTACCTGCTGAGCCATGTTGCTAGCCCAAGAACTGCATTCTCAATCATAATACACTGAGAAAACTTAGTAGCTATGTCCTCAACATCTGCCTGCCCCCCTTTTTCTTACCAATAAGAAAATGTCTGAGTGAAACACCATGTTCAGCTTCTCTAAAAATCTTTAGAGTAAGGCAGAGTCCTCTCCTTTGTCCTTCTGTTTTCTGCGAGCTGGAGTTTGGGGTGATGACTATAGCCTGAGGAGCCATTTTAGACAGAGAAGGCAGTTCTGTATTGAGAAAGATGATCAGAAAAGTGTAAGATGCCTGGGAAGCCACATGCCCTCCCTCCCTCCCTCCTTCTTTCCCAGTTTCTCTTTCTCTCTTCAGATTCATTTCTAAGACATGATCTGACTGTGTAGTCCACATCAGCTTCAGTCTTGCAGTCCTTCTTCCTCCTCAACCTGAATAGATAGATGCTGGGTTATAGGTGTGCACCACCATGCCCAGCTTATACGTTGTTCTAACTGTATAACCTCTGTTTTTGTTGGCAAAAACGAAAAATAAATGGTATTTTTCAGCTGGGCAGTGGTGGCCCATGCCTTTGTCCCAGCATTTGGAAGGCAAATGCGGGTGAATCTGTGAGTTCAAGGCCAGCCAGGGTTACACAGAGAAACTGTCTCAATAAAACAAAACCCAAACCAGGAGTGTATTTTTTCAACTGTTGCTGATATTCTACCATGCACAGTTGAAGCTCACTATGACTAAGATAGAGAGAGTGTGCTGGATAGGTTTATGTCAACTTGACACAAGCTAAAGTCATCTGAGAGGAGGGAACCTCAATTGAAAAATACTTCCATAAGATGGGGTTATAGGCAAGCCTGTAGGGCATTTTCTTAATTCGTGGTTGATGGGGGAGGGCCCAGCCCATTGTAGGCGGGGCCATCCCTGGGCTGGTGGTCCTGGGTTCTACAAGAAGGCAGGCTGAGCAAGCTATGAGGAGCAAGCCAGCAAGCATCATCCCTCCATGGCCTGCCTCCAGGTTCTCGCCATGCTTGAGTTCCTGCCCTCACTGCTTTTGGTGATGAACTGTTATATGGAACTGTGAGGGAAATGAACCCCTTCCTCCCCAAGTTGCTTTAGGTCATGGTATGTTATAACAGCAATATTAACTCCAACTAAGACAGAGAGTAAGACAGGAAAGGGGCAGAGGCGGGGTTTGAATCACATATTAGTTGAGGATGGCATTTTTCATGTATTCACCTATGCCTTTAGCATCCTGGGTTATTTCAAGAGAACATTGCAGTTAGATACTATGTAATTTGCTGCTTCGAGCACCTTTTAGTGTCCTAGGATAGAAATGCGATCTCACTTCAGAAGCAAGAGAGCTATACCTAGGATGGTGCAGTGGCTGCAGTGTTCAGCAAGTCAGTCAGAAAGCTTGGATGCAGTTTTTATTCCTCTTCTCAGAATCCCACATTTCGCCCTTGATTGTAAATGAATTTTCTTAGCTGTCTCTCATTGATAGAATTGTCTGTAGATGGCAGGCTAGAGTAAATGAACAGGGGCTACACTAGGTTCTGATTATTTTCTTTGTCCTTCCAGCAGAATGGTGAATCATGCATGAGGACATCCTAGCTGAGTCTGGGAACAAGAAGACAGGAAACTCAGATGAGAACCCCAGTCAGTGGCTAGAACGCTACTTCAACCGCAAATGCTACATCACCTTCCTGACTGGCTGCTACAGTTGCCACTGGCAGTACAGAGAGTGGGAGACAGCTGAACTTGGATCCTGTTGCTGCTCCTGGGTACAGAGATGGAAAGGAGCTAGACTGCACTTTCTTAGCTGTGGGTGTGGGTGGGTCCCTAAGCACCGGAGCACTCACTGGAATTTCCAAGTCAGGTGCACTAAGCTCCAGTTTTCCTGTCAAAGTACTGTGACAAGTCTAGAGCCAGAGTTAAACATACTTGCTGCCTTCCTCTTCCTCCCTGCCTCCTCCTCTTCCCCCTTTCCCTTCTTCCTTCTTTTGTTTTACAGGAGATAAACTGAGGATCTTTTGCATGCTAGGCAAGGGCTGCAATGCTGAGCCACACTGAAGGCCCTTTTGTTTGTTTCCTGTTTGCTTCCTTCCCTGCTCCCCAGTGTTTTAAAGCAGGATCTCTTGTAGCCCAGACTGACCTTGAACTTACTATATAAATGAGCCAGACCTTAACTCCTGATCCTTCTGTCTCCACCTCTGAAGTTCTGGGATTATAGCCATGTGCCAATGCACCTGGCCAGCCCCTCAATTTTATTTTCTTTCTTTTTTCTTTTTCACTCTGTTTTTGTTACATTATTCATTCATTCATTCATTCATTTGTTCATTCATCTTTCATTCGCTTTTACATTTATTGAATTTTGAAGACTTGGATGCAACTAGATGTTCATAGGAAATTACAAGAATGCTCAAATCTTTAATTTTCATTTTAAAAATTTTATCAGTGGCAATCCTTGTCTGAATCTTAAATTCGTGTGTGTGTGTGTGTGTGTGTGTGTGTGTGTGTGTGTAAAATGTGGTGATCAGAACTTACAGGAGTTGGTTTTGTCCTTCCACCATGTAGGCTCCAGGGATTGACCTGAGGTCATCAGACATCCTTACTCACTAAGTGATCTCACCAGCTCCCTAAATCTTTAATTTTCTAGTCTCTGTCAGTTTCCAAGGGGAAATTATATTCCTTGGTGGCAGGGGTGAGGCGGGAGATAGGGAACCTAATAAGTAGGAAGCAGGATGTTCTTTATTCCTGGCTAAGTAAGTCCTTGATTTTCACTAACATAGAGCTTTAGTGAATGTGGGTGGTAGCATGAAGCATAATCTAACAAAAAGCCTCTTTGTTTCCCTTAGTGGTATGTCATGGAACCCTCTGGTTAGCAATATGGTATAAGAGATCAAATGATGAGCACACTTCAGCGAAAAGAGGGTCAAGTCATGCACTTTCACTTGATTGTTAAACATAGTTCAGCTAAGGTCTAAGAATTTCATTAATTAGATCTCTAATTTCTTGTTCTTGTATTTTATTTTATATGTATGTATGTATCTACCTAACTGTCTTTGGGATTTTGATGATTGTGAATCTAAGGCCTTGCACATACTAGGCAAGTACTCTACCACTGAGCTACATATATCTCCAGTCCTGGATTTTTTATTTCTTATGTCTGGGTTGAGTAGCTATATGTGAAAAAAATGTAGATAATGGGAGGCTTCCCTGGAGTAATCAAGAATGTTCTTCTGTCCCTTATATTTTTCATGCCCAGATATTTGGCTTTTATGCTAGTCACAAATGTGCTTCAGGTATGCTACTCTCAAAGAACTCATGTTGTGCTGGGGGAAGTTAAATACATTCACATTCTAGCATAGCAACAAGTGTATGTGTGTACACACTGGCATATAGTCAGGGAGAGGCCAAAGACCATGAAAGGTGATTGAGAATTGGCTAGGTAAAGAATTGGAGGTGGTATGGGAAATGATAGTAGAGGAGTCCAAGTGTGTGATTGGTAGGTTTGTTTTAGGGGGAGCAGAAATGAATAGAGAAGTGCTGAGAAATGAAGTTGGAGATTAATGGGTCAGATAATGTGGTTTTAAGAACGTACCCCTGTTATATAGGAAGTAAAGAGTACCTGAAGAGGGCTGGGGATATGACTCAGTGGTAGAGCATATGCTTAGCATGTATGGAGCCCTGGATTTGATCTCTATCACCAGAGTAGGGGGGATACTTTAATTTGATGATATGACCTGGGCTATGTTTTGGAATGGTTATTTGAGTGTATGGAGGATATATGAGAAGGGCCAATGCAGGAAAGCCTCTGCGTTCAAAGGGAAAACAGTGGCAGTGCTCCAAAGAAGAGATGTGGGTGGATGGATTAGAGTGGTGAAAGCAGGTATGGAGACAGAGGGGTAGATCTGACAGATTATTCATTACTTGGGGATGTGGTTACAATCACTTGAGATCTACAAAGGATATGGAGTAAAATATAAAGGGAAGCTGTATTAAAAAGGGTAGCATTTAGGGCAGTCTAGTATAATGGTAAAAACACTGAACCAGAACTTTGGAGTATGTATGAGTTGTAATTATAACTGTAACTTATGGTTATGTAATATACCAGAGTCTCTCTGTAGCTAGAGAATTGAATTAATAAAGTCCTTAGATAATTTTCAAGTCCCCTTTCTACTCAGATGGAGTATAACATAAAGGGAAAGACCACTAGATTCAATTTATGGCTTTGCTACTGACCATCCCTAAATTAGTGACCCATTGTTATAAGAGGTTAGGCAAACCACTTAATCTCTCTGTGTTTCAGAATCCTTATTAGAATAAGGGAGACATTAACAGCAAAACCCACCATGGGAGTTGCTATGAGAATAGAAGAGATATTATGTAGAATATACTTTGAATTGCGCATGATACACAGTTACTACTTGATGGATATTATTACTGTAGTGTTCTTAGGGTTACTGATTTGGTGTAGCTGGAGTTTTTTCCAGTCTTGCCCAGACCCACGGACCCCATGACTATGGGGGCTTGACGGGACCTGGAGAGAAACTCTCCAGCTACAATTTGGAAAAGTAATAAACAGAAATAAATACAAAGAAGAGGATTCTGAGTGTGTGTGTGTGTGTGTGTGTGTGTGTGTGTTTAACCAAAAATCTAAATACAGAAAAGCACAATGGTATGTTTAAGGAAAATTAGATTTCCAATGCTGAATTTAGGGACATTATATAAATAATAATTAGGATCAGAAAACAAAATTTAGATGAAATTATAACATCTTTACATTAGACTAAAAAAATTGAGCTTTATCCTATAAACAGAGAGGAACCCTTGAAAAATGTCAAGCCAGAGTTGTGATGAGATTAAAAGAATAGAAACAGATTTATTTAGCAGAAAGATATTAAGCTTATCAGATACATATATCACAGTAGCCAAGACAGCTGAAGTCTTCCTCTGGCCTCCAGTAGCTTAAATTCCAGTGGGATAAGTTATACAATAAATAATAGATGAAGAAATGCTTTCAAATAATAATAAGATCTTTGAAGATAAAGTAGAAAAATATATTAGAAACTGGGAAAAGGGAGTGGTTAGAGACCTATGAAAAACAAGTCATTTGCTCTATCTCCAAATGGATAGAACCAGCCTTGTGTTGGGATAAATGCACTCTAGGCAGACCTATAAGTACCTGGCTTCAGAGTAGGGATGACATTTGATATGTTACAGAAAGCAGCTAGTGTGGCTGACCTCTGGAAAGGAAGTCAGTGTGAGAAGATGTGAGGTGGGGGATGGGTTAGGGCTAATCCTATACAATCTTGTGGGCTACGAAAGGCTCTTTGGATGGGGGTGATATAATAGCTGAGGAGGCTCTGGGAGGGTTTAAGAAGTGCAGAGACATTATTTGCTAACATGCTTTTAAAGGTCCACTCGGGTTTTGTGTAGGAGTGTGTATAAGACTGAGTCAACTCCTGTGCTCATCACCTAACTGCACTCCTGGTAGTGGTTTGCTGCCTCGGGGCCCACAAGGTCTCTTCAGCTTGTCAGGATGCCCTTTCTATGTATGTTTGCAATCTTATTTTTTATTCCTACTCCTTATAAAACCTCAGATTATTCTAGCCTAGGGAGGGTAATGTCCAACACCAGAACTATACTGGCCTTTGACAAATGTAGATAAGAATTATTGAGATAATATGGACAAATGGAGCTAAGTTATATTTCTTTCTCTTTCCAGAAAGAGCAATTTTCTTATCTGTGCCTGATAATTGCATTCGTCTTGTCTGTGATTTTTCTGTTCGTGTGGGCAGAAACCTCCAATGAATACAACGGCTTTGACTGGTGAGTTCAGTTTCTGGACTTCTATTGGTATATAGGCTCCTTTGTTGGATAGTCACTTGGGTTCTTCCAGGTTGAAAAGATATCATGGTTTAGTAGGGTGGATAAGAGGTGTAACTCTAGGGCAATAGTCAAATGTTCAGCATCCAAACTTACACTTCCCTTCCACCTGTGCTAAGTCACACACTGCAGACCAAATGGTGTTCGCAGCTTTCTCTGTGCTTCTAACATCCCCAGCTCTCAGAGAAGGGTTCTCTGTCATCTTTATTCTGGAGTCTCTTTGTCTGGTTGCTGATGCCCAGACTTCTTGTTCTGCATGATTTATGGCCCTCAGCCCTGCTTTCTCTGCTTTTCCTACAGCCTTTGCATCCTTCTTTTGTCTTTAGGGCTCCCTTGGAACTCTGAACAGAAGGACACATATTCCTTCTCAGCTCCTTTTCATGGCTAAACTACTCCCCGACCACTCTCAGACAGTTCAGCTTTTCTGAGGTGTCTTCCAACATTGTTGTAAACATTATCTATTACTTGGTGTTTGTATGTTTAGGTATGTGGCTTCCTTTTTTCTCCTTGATGAAATGCAATTTATTTTTATTTATAAAAGTTAAATCTAGTTGGTTATTCTAAATGTAAAAAAAAAAAGAAAGAAAGACTAGGGCTGGAGAGATGCTCAGTGGGTAAAGGCATCTCCCACAGATCCTGATGGTCTGAGTTCGATCCCCAAGACTCACATTGGTGGAGAGAGAGGACTGATTCCTTGCGAACTGTCCTCTGACCTCACACGTGAGAACATATCTGCACAATGAATAGACTGTAATAATTTTTTTCCCTTGGTTTTTCAAGACAGGGTTTCTCTGTGTAGTTTTGGTGCCTGTCCTGGATCTCTCTGTAGACCAGGCAGACCTCGAACTCACAGAGATCCACCTGGCTCTGCCTCCCGAGTGCTGGGATTAGGCTGTAATAATTTTTTAAATGCAGAAAATTGGAAAATATCTAGTCACATTTTCAAGTGACAGTCACAACCCAGCTTTTTCCTGTGCTTATTTTACATTGTTAGGTTTATACTATTTTTATAATTTTGCTTTGCCTTTTACATAAAATAATCATAAATATTCAATAAACTATTAAGACTAATGTTGAAAATTACTTTAAATGATTTCAAAATATGCATGAAGATGCATGAACTTTGCTTTCTGTATGTGGTGGGTGGTACAGCAGGGATAGAGTCTTGCTATGAAGTTCAGGCTGGCCTCATTGTCTTCTTTCCCACTTTCTAAGTGCTGGGATTACAAGTCTCTGCCATCATGGCTAATTAGCCACAGCTTTTTGTTTGCTTGTTTGTTTGGGGCTAGGCTGAACATTTTTAATATTCATGTCTTGATAAGATAATGATACAGTGATATCTTCATATTTTGACTATTGTTCCTCAGAATAGATTAATACAAGTGGCATTAAGAAGAATGAACATTTGAAATCAGTTCTGTTTTTTGCTAAAGTACTTTCTCAAAAGGTTATGGCCAGTTCCACTTACAGCAGAGGTAAATGACAGTTAACTGTTTTAAGCTACCAATGGCAGCATTAAATATCCCAGTTTTGATGACGTAAAAAAGTCTTCTTAATGGAGTAGTTTTGTTTTAATTTGAGTCATTGTGTTTCAAAGCAGTTTTTTAAAAAAACATATTGTCGTTAGAAATGTTTTTTCCTTTGTACTTTTTATGCTTTGAGCATGTTCAATAAGTTTTATCAGTTTCTACAATCTTTATTATGAATAGTTCTGAATTATTCTTCAGCACATGTATTTCAATTGTTCTGTCTGTGTATGGATATTAAGATATCTGGCATTGAGATCTATAGAGGACTAAGGCTGTAAAATGTCTAATAGTCACAGGTTTTTTTTTTTTTTTGTTTTTGTTTTGTTTTGTTTTGTTTGCTTTTCCCCACCCCTTGAGTGGGATCAAAGTCCTTTAGCTAAGCACAGCAAAAGTTGTATGATGGTGACACACCTTGAATTTCCTTTAATAAGAATCTTCTGGGGACTATTTCTGGAAGTTCCTATTTTTTTGAAGATGGCTGTGTTTCATCTTTATCCTTGAAGGGTAACTTAGACAGGCTTAGAATCCTAATTTGCAGTTTTTCTTTTAGCACGGTGATTCAGTTGCTCTGCTGTCTCTTGCTTTGTCTATGTTGAGAAGTATGCTGTCTGCCTATGGTCTCTTGAACTCCATCTGCCCTTGAAAAATCTGTCTGGCTTTCAGAGTTTTCTTTCTTTGCTTTCCACAATTTTACGATGATATGCATGTGTGGTTTTCTTTCTGCTTTAAACTTGCTTTGCTTCTTTAATTTGCAGTTTGCTATCAGTAGAGACTTTCTACTGTCAACTTGTTTAAACTGTACCTTAATTTCTCTTCACTGTACAGTTTCAGTTTCAGAAGTCATTGGCATATGGTTTGGAAGGCAGATGTGAGGCAACAGCCAGTTTTCTGTTTTGAAGGTTGGCATCACTAATATGCACCAATCTGTATACCTTGTTGATATGGGGAATGCTGAGATCTGCCACTCCCTTACCTTTGCCCAGACCTCCTTCTATAACTTGTCTGAGTGTTGTATGAGTTTTTATACAACTTTGTGGTGAAGATTCTTTAGGTTGCTCGTGCTGTCAAAGCTCGAGGTGGTGAGTCAGTCATGGCTTTGCATTTGTTCTTAAGGGTTCCAGTACATCTGAGAAAGTTCTAGTTTGTTTTTAGTCTTCTCATTTCATGGTTTTCTTCCTGACTGCCTGTCTGACTAATAGTGACTCAAGTGAAACCTAACAGAAAATACAGGGCAACAACCTCCCATGCAGATCCCTCTGTGTTCCCATAACCTTGAGGTACAATCCCTATAATACATTTTATTCTGTACCACTCATAGTGGTTCTGTTTCCTTGAACGAATTTACACAGAACATATCCACAGCAGTACAGCAGTTCTAGGAAAGTACAATCTTTTATTTTAAAAAGATTTATTTTTTAAAATTATGTTTATGGGTGTTTGTGTATATATGTGGGGGGTATGTTCACTTGAGTACAAAATTTTTAGAAGAAAGGTTGGTGTTTAATGAGGCTGCATATAGAATGCCATTCAGATTAATTTAGGAGACTCATATGGGGCAGGCAAGATAGATCAACAGGTAAAGTACTTGTCACCAAGGCTGACAAAATAAATTTGATCCCTGAATCCCACACAATGTATGGAAAGAACTGACTCCTGTAGCTAGAGTTTTCCTGCCTGGCCCAGGGTCAGGGCAAATCTCTCTCACCTGCCAGTCCCACAGCTGCTCAAACCTGACCAAGTAAACACAGAGACTTATATTGCTTACAAACTGTATGACCGTGGCAGGCTTCTTGCTAACTGTTCTTACAGCTTAAATTAATCCATTTCCATTAATCTATACCTTGCCACATGGCTTGTGGCTTACCGGCATCTTCACATGCTGTTTGTCATCTTGGCGGCTGGCAGTGTCTCTCTGACTCAGCCTTCCACTTCCCAGCTTTATTCTCCTCCTTGTCCCGCCTACACTTCCTGCCTTGCCAATGGCCAATCAGTGTTTTATTTATTGACTAATTAGCAACACATTTGCCATACAGAACATCCCATGGCAGACTCCCACAGGTTATCTTTAGAATGCCACATGCACGATGTGACATGTACCTCCCGCTCCCATAAAATAAATACATATAAAGAATATTTTCAAAAAGAAGACTCATATTTTCCTCAGACTGCAACTCTTCAGTGCAGTCAAAAACTTCTCAGAAAACATAAGTAGGAAGCAACAACTTAAATTGGGCCAATCCATGTAGAACGAGCCCACTGTGCAGTCGTCAGCATGATGTAGTCCCAGTTTGAAGAAGTGGTGGCCAAGAAGAGAGACTTCCCTTTTCAGGTTCCATTGTGTATAAGCAGTCACATAAGCAAGCTTCTCTTCATTCTAAATGCTGCCTCGTTTTGTCCTGCCACCACCTTCATGAAGAGTGAGCACAGATGACAGAGACAGAAGGGGTAGAAGAGGGAGAGAGAAAGATCCCTGTTCTGCCTTTCCTCTGGTTCATCCATGGCAGAGATGAGAGCAGCCCCTGCACTTGTCTGTGTGAGAGCAGCTCCTGTACTTGTCTAGTGTGAGAGCAGCTCCTGCACTTGTCTAGTGTGAGAGCAGCTCCTGCACTTGTCTGTGTGAGAGCAGCTCGTGTACTTGTCTAGTGTGAGAGCAGCCCCTGGATTTGTCTGTGTGAGAGAAGCTCCTGCACTTGTCAGTGTGAGAGCAGCCTCTTCACTTGCCTGTGTGAGAGCAGCCCCTGTACTTGTCTAGTGTAAGAGCAGCCCCTGCACTTGCTCAGTCAAGTGGGTAGTGATACTCAAAAGTGATCAAATACCTTAAAGACAGCTTTTTGTGTTGAAAAGAACTAAAAATAAATAATATAATTAGCAAAATGATTATGAAGAAAGATACCCCATTAAATATCAATTAAGTTTTCTTTGTCACTTGGAAACAGTCAATAGCAGCATTTGATTACTGTTTGAGTAATAATTTGGCTTCATGTAAACCACTATTAAGGTCATCTTTGATCTTTTTATTTCAACTTTTTTTCAAGGTCTATTTGATTATTTAATTACAGGGCATAGGCTTTTCTTAAGTGATACTAGTTTTGTTCTGTAAATCCAAATCTTCTCTGAAAATCAATTTTTAAAACTTTAAAAAAATATTTATTTGTGTGTGTGTGTGTGTGTGTGTGTGTGTGTGTGTGTGTGCGTGCGCGCGCACATGTATCACAGTGCATGTGTGGAAGTGAGAGGACAGCCTGCAGAAATCAGTTCTCTTCTTCCACCAAAGGGGTTCTGGGGGTCAAACTCATGCCTGGTGACCAGCACCTTTGCCCACAGAGTCATCTCACCAGTCGTGGATCTTAGGTATATTTTTCTGAATCTTTTCTGGTTGTTCCATTAATTGTGTTTTGTTAGGCACAGTTTCATCTATTTTGAAAACTTCATTGGGTCCATTTTTTACCTCCACCCACCCTCTGAGAGTATATATCAGACCCAGGCCCTCATATGATGGACACACAGTTACCACTGAGCTACATCCCCACCTCCTTACCTGAGCTCCCCTTTTCAGAGTGCCCTTCCCTCATAGCATCTTTACCTGAGAAGCTTCTTACTATAAATGTTACTTGTCTGTTTCTTCTTGGTGTGTCTTATAAACCCTACCAAATGAGCATTTCCTTTATTATTTTAATGTGATTATATGCTCATGCTATATATTTTATTTCTTTAAAGTATTTATCTAGGTTCTGAGTGGAAAGGAGGTCATTTCTGTTTTCTTAAAATGAGAAGTATAGATTCTTTGACATAGAAAGCCTAGACAAATATAACATTGTCTCCCTAATGAGTCACAGAAGTAGTTTTCCCACAGATGGTACTTTAGGAGCAGAATGCTTAGGACATAGCTCCCATACACATAAGAGCAATTGACATGGTGGTTATGAGTGCAGTTATGTAAGAAGGCATATGTGTACCTGAACAAGGAGCTTGAGAGATAGAAATGAGTGGTCATACTGTTGTAATGAATTTAGGGGATGATTCCCTTTTTTTTTTTTGATAGTGCTGAATTTCCACATCACATTGTTTATTGAAGATGATATAAATTTGTATATATATTATAAATAACTTTATAACATCTCTCCACTTATAGAGGGTACATTAATATTGCTTAGAGTACAAAATTAAAATAAAAAAAAATCCCCAAAGCACTCACAGATCTGTTCACAAAGTGCTTCTCTTCTTGTCCCTCCATTTTTTTAATGCCTCAATTAGTCTGTTCTTGTCTCTACCCTTAGTATAGATACTGTTACTGATTCCTACTATATTTTAAGGGTTGAAACATTTTTTTCAGGGTTGTTTATCTAGGGACAAAACGCTGGTTCTTGTGGTCCATTATTATGTTGAGTACAGCTGGGATCCTCACTGCCTACACTTCCTTGCTTTTGGTGAGTGATGATGCTTCTCATTTTTCGTTTCTTGAGCAGCTCATGGGTTGCTCCCTCCTGTGCTATTGCATCTATCTGGAGTCTTTGATATTAGTAGAGTCAGAGTTAACTGCTTCGGTTTTATGCAGAAGCAATGGCTGAAAGAGATTTATGCTGTTTAGAGGATGTGTCTAATCAAGTCAGCCCTTTGAGAAGGTGACAGAGCGCCCTTTTTTTTTATATCCCCCATTTCATACTCTATCCATTGGTTCACTAAATATTATCATTTAAACACCCATAGCATTACACCCACAGTCTAGGGCTTATACATTAAACCAGTTTTACTATGCAAATGCTATTCACTTAGCTCAGTTGCAAATTATTTGTGTATGACCCTGTCTCTGTTGCAGACATGGCAGAGTCATTTTGCATGAAAAATACATGTGACAGAAAGATCCATGGAAATAGAGAAACTAACAGAAAGACAACTTTAGCTGAAAACTTTGTGCTTACTTTGATTTCATAATTCTGTGTTTCCTCTGATTTCCTCTCTGACACACAAGAGTCCAGCCCTTGAATATGTTGCCAATTGCAATGTTTTTCTTCTAAAAATGTATTAATTATTATGAGAACATTGTAATGAGTACTGATTATGTAGAAATCAATAAAACTAAAGCATGTAGTTTCTGTCTTCATGTTGAGTTCTCGATAAAGGTAATGTGTTCATTCCATTCTCATTGCTGGGACAATATACCCGACAAATGCAACTTAAGGGAAGGTTATTTGTTACAGTTTGAGAGAACGTAGCCTTTTGTGGTAGAGAAGGAATGGTGGCAAGAGGCAAATGTAGGGGGCATCTGTCCCATTGAATCACAGTCAGGAAGCCAGGAGAGATGCTCACCTCAGCTCAGCTGTCCTTTTTATTCAGTCTGGGGCCTCGGCCCATGGAATGTTGCTGCCCACATTCAGAGTGGATCTTCCTTCTTAAGTTAGACCTTTGTGTAACAACTCTTTCCATGGTGATTCTAAATCTAATCAAATTGACCATGAAAAGTAATCACAGACTGATGTAAGATAAAGCTATGATTGCTTCTTCATTTGGTGTTTAGAATCACAGGGGAAAGTCACTATTACAGATGGAACTTTGTAATTATCATTATCAATTCCTGAATGAAACTCGTCAGGGGTTCTGAGAAGGAAGAGCTAACTGCCAGCAAAAATATCAAATAAAACTTCTTAGAAGGGGTAGAATTGGAGGGCTGGGGACACAGCTCAGTCAGGAAAGTGTCTGCTGTGTGAGCCTATGGACCTGAGTTCAGATCTCCAGAATCAAACCCAGTGCTGCAGTGGAGACGGTGCAGTGAGAGCGAAGTCTCTGAAGCTCATTGACCAGATAGCTTAGCTGAAGCAATAAGCTTAGGTCCAGTGAGAGACCTTTATCCAAAGATAAAAGTGGTCCATGAGCATGTGTATATGCATGCATACACATGACCACATGTGCACACATCCATACTGACAAGTGTACACACACACACACACACACACACACACAGGCACACACACACGCACACGCACACGCACACGCACAAAATAGCAGCATGGGATTGGGATCCTGAATAGATCATGGGTTTGGACATGGGGGACTGAAATGTGAAGGAACATTGTGGACTGAGAGAACATATTGTGAGAGAGTAACAAGAGAGAAATAGATTTGATATTTTGTTAGGAAGGGAGTAATATAGCCTAATGGGGAGACACAAGTTGTGACAGATTTCAAAAGGCTTTGAAAGTAAGAGTAAGATAACTTAGTAAACATGGGTTTCCATTTTAGGAAAGTCATTCTGGAAGTTTTGATGTGAAGGTAGAGAGACCAGCTAAGAATCTTTCTTTTTGGTGAGGAAGATGCAGATGTAGTGTATGCTCTAGGCTCAATTCTGGGCCACTGAATTGTACCATGTATATACACAATTAGTGGGAGATGGGATGGTTAGCTTCCAGTGTGAGAATGCTAGTGTCCAGCAGCGTCCCCGTTTTAACAGACGCTCTACTTTAGCCTACCTCTTTTGGACAACAGTGAAAAAGGAGAGAGGCCTGGCTTTGCTTTTTGAGTTCTTACTTTGAGAGTTCAGTGTGAAACTCAGTGGTGAGAATGCTTGTGCAAAGCCCAAGCATTGGTTCCTAGCAGTGAAAAAAAAAGGTTATTTACTTAGTAATCTTGGTCAAGTTATATGCCTCTTCTATGACTTGGCTGCTTTTTAATTTTCAAATGAGAATGATAATATTTAATAAAATGATACTTTTATAGGGCTAAATAAAAAAATAAAGTCATGTACACAAAATTATTATAGTAAAAGTAAGTGCTTTGTACATTAATATGTTAACATCTGAGGACTTGAGTTCTCAGTTTCTGTGTTCATACCTACTTGAAGACTGGTAGCATAGACCAGATGTGTTGAGCATAGACCAATGTTAATGACAGTCACAACATCAGCACCAGCCTTGGAAAGAGCTTTTAAATGACCCTTCGGAGAGTTGGCTCTTAATCTCTGTTCTCTTATAAGTGAATCTAAGTAATAGCAGGCATGAAGTCCATCGCAGGGAAAGGAAATGGCAGGAACTCAGGAAGCATCAGCGGTAATGGTTGTGAGATCCCAGGGGAAAGAGTAATGAATTCTTCCTAGGGTGTTGGTGGAAGCTACAGATAGGAAATGACATTTGAACTGGCTTCAAGGGTCAGTGGCATGGGGAAAAAGAGCCTAAAAAGGATGAGAAGTAACATGGCAAGGGAGATAAAAAGTAGCCCAGGAAGTGAAAGTGGTGCCCATTGTGAAAGGCGCGGGAGCTACTGAACCGCTGTGGCAGGATTTAGTCACTTCGAAACAACCGCCTGTCTTCTTTCCTTTGCAGTTAATTGGGGCTTTTTTGCTCTGGGAAAGGATTGAACTATATCTGCATACGTGTCATAAGGTAAGTGTTCAGTCCTCACAGGAGGCCATACACAGGATGGCGGGAGCTCCGCAGCATCCGGTCCTACTCATGCAGCTGGCCTTCTTTCATTGTTCCCTGGACAAACCTGCTTGTGCAATTGTTTTTAATTTTATATATTTTTTTCGGGACAGGGTTTCTCTGTGTAGTTTTGGTGCCTGTCCTGGATCTTGCTCTATAGACCAGGCTGGCCTCGAACTCACAGAGATCAGCCTGGTTCTGCCTCCCGAGTGCTGGGATTAAAGGCACATGCAACTACCGCCCAGCTATTTTTTTTTTGGGGGGGGGTTGCAATTTTAACTGAAATTAGTAAATTTCTTCTCCTTCTTCCTCCCCCCCCCCCCCCCGTTTCTGGTCATACTCACCAGCTCTGTTCTTCCTGTCCCAGTGAAATCTTAGGCAAATCTCACTTTTGCAATCTTTTTCCATCCCAATAGCATTTTCATTTCAGTCATTAGAATTGTAGTTCACTGTAGTAACCCAATCTCCAACCTTACAGATCTAAACCTTCTTCTTCTTCTTCTATTTGGGCTTGACTTGCCTATGCCTGTCATGGTGGAGAGGGCAGTGGGGCAGTCATTTCCCTGATGACATATTTTTTCAGGTCAGTGCCTGCTTTCTCATGATTCCCTGAAACTTCTTTAAGATCTGACTGACCTTTCCTTGGTTTGAATCCCTTTGAAGTGATTACACCATGGCTTCTCTCAAACAGTTCATACCTGGTCCCCAAGAACAGGCAACTGTATTCCACTCTCTGTGGACCAACAGCATACTTGCAACATGGACTTTCTGACTTGGTCCTACCATGAGCTGGATAAGCTCAAGTAGCATAACCCCCTTTTTTATAGACCTTCTCAAATATGGTTGTGACTGTATGCTAATGTTTCTCCAAGACTGGGAACATGTCAAGTCTTTTGAGTGGCATCCTTACTTAAATCTCCTCTTACTCAAATGAGAAATTCAAATTGGACGTGTAAACTTAAGTATTATTAAAATAAATGGGAGTTGAAATCATGAGCTCTTCCATGGGAAGAATGTATATAGAAAAGAAAAAAGAATTGCTGGGCGGTGGTGGCGCACACCTTTAATCCCAGTGCTCGGGAGGCAGAGGCAGGTGGATCTCTGTGAGTTTGAGACCAGCCTGGTCTACAGAGCGAGCTCCAGAACAGGCACCAAAACTACACAGAGAAACCCTGTCTCAAAAAACAAAAACAAAAACAAAAAAACAAAACAGAAAAGAAAAGGCCTTATTGCTGATATCATCTATTTTAGACTTTGGACACTATTATGAATTAACACCAGAAGATGGAAGAAACTTATTAGTCCATCAGCCCCTTCTCACTAAATCTTTGACCAAGAAATTGTCGGTACCCCCACTTTCATTAAGCACAGCTACCATCTTCAGTCAGGAACAGCGACACTTAAGCTCTCGGCTAAATCCTAGCCACAGATCTTACCCTTTCCATACACAATCAACAAGACATTATTTTGTTAGCCTCTAAAGAGAGGATGCTAGTGTCCAATTAAGTCTTATGTTTTAGTGAGCTTTTTATTCTACCCTACCTCTTTTGGATACATATCATGATTACTGAATCAGTTTCAGACAACAAAATGTTGTTTAATATTAGATTCTGGTATTCTGAAACTAAAATCTCTGATATATGTTCCATATTAGTAAAGTTAGACTGGTTTAAAATTATGCTTTCTTTTGTCTAGCATCATCCTTAAAACTAATTCCTATACATCTTCAATGGAATTTTTGTTCATTCAAGTTAATAAAATCTTGCCATTATTTTCTCAACTTTCTTATCCTGTATTATTTTGGGATCTACTTGCAGTTATGAATCTGTGGACAATGAGAAGAGATGGAGGGGGATTATGAGAGGAAGTGACCTTCCCTTGGAAGGTAATTCCTTTGGTTAGGCCTTCAAATCAGCAAGAACAAGGCCTATGGCGTCTGCTTCTATTGACAAGGGAGATTCTTAGGAGCTTGGGGGTTTACTTTTATCATCTTTCAGAATAACCCAGAAGGGATAGGATTAGCACCAGGTCTAGAATCTCTTGATCACCCAGGGATACCCAGAGAGCACTTCAGATTGCAGTGATTAGTCAAAACTCCTTGTAAATATGCTAATAACTTGACTTCCTTATAAAACCCCCTAAGGTATAGTTAGCTAGCAATAATGGGATGTCTCTGTGACATTTTCTAACAAGATAGACCTAATGTATCTCAGGTGCTTTTACTTTAAATAAGCCTGGAATGTACAGGTTTTTATGATAGCAAAAGGACTTGCTGGAGTTGTGTAGTTAATAGAGTGACAGATAAGGACGTGCCATACCCAAAATGGTTCCTTCTGTGAAGCAGCATTTCTATACACTTGGCTCAAAATTCACCTCACAGTCTAAGCTCAAAATCAGAATGCCTTACAGATGCAGGAGAGTAAAGATCTTTCATGAGTAGCTGTATTTTACATGACCAGATTTCCCCAAGGGAAAATAGGGGTTTTTTTTGTACCTTATGATTGCTTCTATTCTTTAAATCATTTGTAAAGTTTGGTGTTGGATAAGAGATAAATTCAACAGTTCAACAGTTATGTTGTGACGCATTTGGTTTCCTAATAGACTAGTAATTTTGCTTTAATGTATTTGAAATCTTGGCTTGTACTTCCTTTAAAAAAAAAGTCAAAGAGGAGGTAAAGGTTTGAAGTGACTGTTATTGCAATTGGGTGGCTAAGGATCAAAATAATTGAAAAAGGCCTGGCTGAGGGTGGAGATGTTAGATTGGTAGTAGCATCAAGCAACACAGTTACGTGATTCCTTCCAGCCATGCTACACAACAAAGACTTAGGAGCAATGAGGGTGAGTTACTGGAGCCACCCTTCACTGAGGACTCACAAGACAGTTAGATTGAAAAGACAAGGGTCCATGGTAGTATAAATAATCACATGCAATTAACAAGGACAGTTCTGATCCAAATATGGTGGCTAGAAGTTAAAAAGCCCTTTCTGTTTCCCTAGGTCCTCGTTTTGCTAGTTATTGCTCTGTGCTCCTTCTTATTAGCTATTTTAAACCGGTACTGGACGGACAAGTGGCTGATAGCTGGGCTCTCACTGAAGGTAAGCATCAGTCTGTAGTGCTTATCACTGTGTCCAGATGTGTCTAGTCTGACTTTTGGCTTTTCCCCAGATCTTTGCTCCCTTTGTGCACATGAGCCTCATAACTGTGATGATTATCATTTCCTGGCCTCTAGCCATCTGTGTGGCCCACTTGGAATCAGAAGGTATGTCATGTGAAGTGGAATCTTGCCTGATCTCCCCAGCTTGTATCCTCCACTCAGAGAAACAGGGATGGTAGCTAGCCACCCATGTACCTCTTTGAAAGTTCTTTAGTGTCTTATGTAGGCAGGTTCTTTATAGTCTCACTTACCAAACCCTGTGGCCTACCGTAGTATTTCTATGACTAAGTCATCCTTCTAAGAAGGATTCTTTTAGAAAAAAACATCGTTTTCCCTTTGCACATCATTTATCTGGGGCAGATAGGGACAGCAGAGGGCATCCCAATTTTGTTTTGACCTGAGTGCTACTATAAGACTTAGCCTATTCATACACAAGCATCACTGATTTCAATTAATACTATGTCCAGTGATCTTTGGTTACATCAGGTAACTCAGAGAAGTCCCCTGTGACCCCTGCCATACCTAGGAACTTAAAGAAGCAGGAATGGCTGCCTCTGCAGCTGACTTCCTCTCTATTCTTTTGCAATGTTGGTGGAATCAAGACAGTGAGTTCTGGATGCGGAACTGCTTTGCAAATGGAAAGCTGTAGGATCTTCTTTCTATATCTCCCTTTTCACTATTGGCCATATAAAAGGCACTTGCTTCCTGGCTTGTGGGAGGATGCAGGCTAGTGAAGGGCTGGTTTAATAGGGGTGCTGGTGTGTGTGTGTGTGTGTGTGTGTGTGTGTGTGTGTGTGTGTGTGTGTGTATGTGTGTGTGTAGTAAATTTTAGAAAATATTTCTCAGATAGGAGCTTAAAGGGAACAATAATAAACTATTTTCTTTATTTTAGTTAGAATAAGAAGATACAAGATGGCAGGTTACGAGCACGAAGTCCCGGAAAGTTATAATATATTCACAAGGTTAAGAGGTTAGAACTGGAGGTCTCAATTTGAAAGTCACTGAAGCACATAGGTAGTAACTTAAAAATGTACAAATGGGTGGGATCCCCAGAGGTCTGAAACAGAAAGTATTGGGAAGCAATTGATAATAGGAATTAAGGATGGGTTGTGTGGTGTGGGAGATGGGTGTGGGTGAAGGTATGTAGGGTGAAGAATAGGAAGAAGGAGAAAAATAAAACTAATATTTATCAGCTGTTATGAGTCAGCACTGTTGTAACAGCTCTGTGAGGTTAATGTTAGCTGCCAGACAGACCTAATTTACAGAAAAAGGATGAAGACTCCAAGAGGTTACGTCACATGTCCTTGGTTACAACAAGAAATGATAGAGCTTAGCCTTGAACTCACATTTGTCAGTGCCCTTTCCACTGCTCTGCCCTAAGTTAGAGGGTTTCTTAGGATGATCTTCACAGTCAGCAAGGCTCTCTCAGAGCCAGCCAAGCTCCTCCTCTGAGAAGCTGTGTCTTACATTTCCTTCTTTCCTTTCTTTCTCCTCCCTCATCCAGCCTTCCCTCTTTTCCTCCCACCAACCTTCTGTACAGTTTTTCCATTTTTACTTCCAAGTTTCAGCAATATTGCCTTAATAATGTCTTTGTCTGAAATGTAGGTTAGTGGTAGAGCACTTGCCTTGCATATGTAGGACCTGGATTCAATACCCAGCACTGAAAATAACCTTATATCTGAACAGTCCTGTGTATTTATATCTAAACCCCTGGAAGGGAGGATGTTGCAGAAATAGAAACTAAACCAGCTGCTACTTTGGGGTAGTTAGCTGTGTGAAGTGGTTCTCCATCCCTCCTTTCCTTTTTACTCACTTTTCTCCCCTTCCAACCTTTCAGCTCTACAAATAGCTGCTGGATTGCCCTTCCTTCTTATTCTTTTATGTCTTTATTTGATGCCACTGGGAATTTATTCTCCCTGCATTCTGAAGAAGGAGAATTTAGGGCCTAAGCCTAAATTCTTTGGACATAGAGGTGCACCCATGGTAGGTCTGATCATAATGAGCATGGATGAATGCAGGTATGTATGGGGTATGTGGGACAGAGAAGGAACCCTGGAGAGGAAAGGGGATCTTGACATGACAAGAATAAGGAATTAACTGTGTACATTGCATTTGAACTCAGGTCATCTAGCTCCTATCAGCTTCTCTTCACTGTGCCCAGTGTTCGACTGGGTAGAGGGGAACAGTCAGCCTCTTTGAAAAGACAGCTCCAGGAGCCAAGCTCTGCTTCTCAAAGCCCTTTCATCCCCAAGCTCTATGCCTACCATGAAAGAAATGTTGGGAGGAGAGACTCCAAGGCACAAGGCTTGATGTTCCTTTCTTCCGTAGTTGGCGCCAGAGAATACCATGATGTCCTTTGAGAAGGCTGTTGAACATGGTGCCTCTGGCCTGGAGACTGATGTGTACTTAAGGTAGGAGAATAGGGACTAGGGTGGAGGGCAAGAGGGGATTTGTCTAGGGTCAGGGGAAAGGACCAGCTTGGCCCAAGGAGTAAAGAGAATAAGCCTTGAAGAAGTTCTTCTATGTTTATATAGCACATCTGTACATGCCACATATATGAACCACATCTCCCTTTCAAAATATTCCCCTTTACCCCCATGGTCTTCACCATAGGCTCACAAACCACATGTGAGTCAAATTTGTTTCCAGTATAAACCATACTTGCACCTTAACCCTGTGTACTACTTTAGGAACTTACTTATTAACATTCCCTAGATATCTGCTACATTCTAGGCTGCCGTCTGAGTGTTCAGGAGATGCACTTGAGTGAGATATAGTCATATGTACCTTCCCAGTGAGTAAAGGAGATGTGGCATAGTTACAGGTGACCACAGAGTAAGGCCATTTGTGATCAAAAGCCTTTCAGAGAGGAGTAAGTCAAGTGTAGAGGAGCCTCAGTGGAGGAGAGGGCTACCTCCTAGTCTGTGAAAGAAATCATCTGGATATACTCAAAGTTATGTTTGGGTTAGCCTTAAAGAAAAATAGTTTGCTAAGCAGAGATGGGGGCATTCCAGACAAAGGCATCAACCTATTCAAAGGCATTTTAATGAGCAATAACAAGTCATAGAGCTCCGTAAATGTTTAATGGACAGCCAGTGTAGGTGACAGAGACGAGATGGCCTATTGTTTTATTGTTGTTGTTAATTTGTTTCTTTCTGTTTGTTTTCTAAGTTTATTATATTATTGTTTGTTTGCTTGCTTATACATGTGTACATGTGTGCCATGTTGTGTGTATAGAGATGGGAGTGTGGAGTTGGTTCTTTCCTTCCATCATGTGGGTTCCAGAGATCAAACTCAGGTTGTTACATTTGGTGACAGTTCCCATTGGCTACTGAGCCATCTCGCCTGTATTTGGTTTTTATTTTGTTTTGTTTGTTTTTTGTTTGGGGAAGCCAGATCTTGTGTAGCTAGGATGGCCTTGAACTCACTATGTAGCTGAGGATGATGTAAACTTCTGACCCTTCTGCTTCTACTTCCTGAGTGCTGGGACTACAGGTATATACCACCATGTCCAGCTTGTTTTTTTTTTTTTAAATAAATTTTAATTTCAGATTTTACAGTGATGGAGATAAAACTCAGGGCCTTATGCATGCCAGGAAAGCATTTTGCCACTGAGCCATACCCCAGTCCATTGTTGTTTTTATTTTTTATATGCTTTGGAAAGAATTATTAAAGTGTTGGATAGCAGTGTGAAGCAATGGTCCAAAGAAAAACAAAGGAATATTTGGATTAGAGCAGGTCCAGGAAAACATACACACACACACACACACACACACACACACACACACACACACACACACACACCAGGAAAACACACACACACACATACATACACACACACACACACACACACACACCGAGAGAGAGAGAGAGAGAGAGAGAGAGAGAGAGAGAGAGAGAGAGAGAGAGAGAGAAGCATTGCTATAGAATTTATGTATCTAGGCATCTTAGGAGGTAGAAAGGCTTTGTTTTACTGTGAATGTATTAGTGTATGTGCTAAGCACATATACTACAGTCCTGTCACACTCATTCAGTGAGACGAACAGAAAAATGAGCACTCAGTTTTAACAGAGGAGTAACCTGGGTTCGAAGAAGAAGAGAAATGTAGCTCTGGTCATGAGACTTAGAACGTACATGGTAAGGTAGAGATTAACACTTGCTTGCCAGAACCCAAACCGGGATTTTTGGCATAATTCATTGAAACTGAGTATTTTAATGGAGTTCTTTGTGTCATTTCTGGAAGCACCCAATGGCCATGGGCTTAATATGGTAAAGGTTCTGGCCCAGTGAACCCTTAAAACATGGTCTTTATTCTCTGCTGTGATTTTGACTCTAATATAGATGATCCTTCCAACGGCTTATTGCTCTGCTTGCTGACATCTCTTCCCAAAGATTATCTCTTCCAAATGCCTCTACCGCTTTCATAGTCATCCCCAAAGCTTCTACTACCCCAGACTGCATGTCACCCAGGATCCACTTAGGACATGAAATCCATATCAGGAATTTTAACAGGGAAAATACAATATAAAGAACTGCTAGGTACTGAAAGAGGATTCCAAAGAGCATAAGAACAGAATGCTTTACAGCATAATTTTAGGTTTTACATGAAATAGCATAAAATAGGTTTTACAGAAAAACCTAGTATTTCCCTGTTAATATCTGATTTGAATAACTCGTGACTCTTCTTTCTTTTGGTTAGTTTGTCTAAGGGCCTAACCGTTGTGTATATTTTTAAACACCCAGCTCTTAGAGTCATTGTTTTTTTTTCTACTTTATTTATATCTTCCCTGGTTGTTATTTCTTCCTGTCTACTGGATTTGGCTTTGGTTTGCTCTTGTTTTACCAAACTCTTGAGTTGCATCATTGAATGGTTTGTTTGTGTTCTTTTTGATTTTTTTAAATTTATTTATTTATAATGTATACAATGTTCTGCCTGCATGTATGCCTGCAGGCCAGAAGAGGGCACCAGATCTCATTATTGATGGTTGTGAGCCACCATGTGGTTGCTGGGAATTGAACTCAGGACCTCTAGAAGAACAGCCAGTGCTCTTAACCGCTGAGCCATCTCTCTAGCCCTCTTTTTGATTTTTTTTTTTTAATGTAAGCCCTTGGAACTAAAAGCTTCCCTCATAGGAAATTTTGGTGTGTTGTATTTTCATTTTCGTTTATTTCAAGAAAGTTTTTGTTCCTTCTTGATTTGTTTTATCCACTCATCATTCATAGTGTGTTGTTTAATTTCTATGAGTTTGTGTAATTCTAGAGATTCTTTTGCTGTTGATTTCAAGCTTTATTACATTGTGGTCAGATAAGATACATGTAGTTATTTCAAATTTCCTGTATTTGTTGAGATTTGTTTTGTGTCCCAGCATGTGGTCTATTTTAGAGAAAGTTCTATGGGCAGCTGAGTAGAAGGTAGAGTGTTTGGTGTTTGGGTGGACTATTCTGTAGACATCTGTTAGGTCCATTTGATGTATGATGCCACTCAATTCCTATGTTTCTCTGTTTATTTCTTGTCCTGATGACCAGTATGTTGGAGAAAGTAGTGCACTGAAGTCACCTACTGTTACTGACTTAGGGTTAATCTGAATCTTGAAGTCCAATAGAATGCTTTTAAAGAAATTGAATGTGCCAGGATTTAGTGCATATATGCTTAGGATTATAATATTTTCTTGGTTAATTGTTCCCCTGACCAGAATGAAGTGTTCTTCTCTAATTCTTTGGATTTATTTTGGCTAAAAGTCTAGTTTGTCACACATTAGGGTAATAATGCTCATTTCCTGGTTATCCCAACCCCAGTCTTTCACTCTAAGGTGATACCTATCCTTGAAAGCAAAAGGAGTTTCTTATAGACAACAAAAATATGGATTTTGTTTCTCATTCTGCATTCTGTTCATCTAACCTTTTATCTTTTGATTATAGATTTAAGGCCACTAATATTAAAAGTTATTGTTGAAAAGTGTGTGTTGATAACTGTTTTGTTGCCTTTTTGCTGTTTGTATTCTTAGTCCTATTTCATATTTCAGTAATTATAACTTTGTTTTCTTCCTGTAGTCTTTTGGTCCCACTTCTAGATGAAGATCTACAGACAATCAATGGTCATTTAGAGTGGGAGAATCATTTTTCTCCAGGGACAAGCCTCTTGATAGGTTATCCCATCCCAAGTGGTCCCTAAACACATGTACATGTGAGCAACACCAAATAGACTCAGTATATTTATTTATATAAATATCAACAATAATTATAGAAGAAGATGTCATGAATTCAAGAGAAAGTGCACATAAAAAGAGTTGGAGAAGGGAGATAAAGTAGTGGAAATGATGTAAACATAGTACTCATATATGAAATTCTAAAAAAATTAAATTAAAAGAATAAAAAGAAAAAACATTATAAGAGTGCAGAATATTGTTAAAAATAAATGAACCAGTTAGAAAATGAGCAAAAGGCATATATAGGTATTTCATACAGGAAGATATATACAGGTAACAAATTCATATGTGGAAAGATTTTCAACTTCATTAGACATTAGGAAAATACAGATGGTCCTAATATTGCTCCTCTATCGGAATGTCATAGGAGCTGGAGCAAGATGGCAGCTGAGTCAAATCCTCTAATGATAATTTTACCATAGACATACCCTTTTGGACAGCTATTTCTTTACAAGAGCTAATAAAGCCAGGTAAGAGACCATCCTACCTGGTTTTAGTAGAATAATAAGGAAGGATGATACATTGAAGAAGCAGGAAGAAAAGAGTTGCCCCATCAGCCTTCCTTCAATTCCAAGAAGCATGGAGAGAGAAGAGAGAGGGAGCGATGGGAGGGGAAAATTCAAGGAAGGAATTAGACTTCAAATCTTGTATCAGGTCTGCCAGGGGGATCCAATGCCAAAGTCCCATAAGCCCTGTCCCCAGGCCAGCGCTCAGGACTGAGCCACTTGAACTGTGTTAACTGGCTAAAGGATTACCTCTCCCTTAGTTGAGTAACAGAGAAGAAAGCGAGATTCTGCTTTCTGGGAGCAGAGCACAAACACTACCACAGGACTTTGCCTACTTTGGAGAAGACCAGTGTCAGGTAGAAACTAAACCCCTACATAACCCAGATCTTAGATAAAGCCTCTAGGCATGCTTGAGTGTCAGGAAAGAGACATGAAAGTCAGTAGGACAGACTCGAGTTTTGGCTTAGACCATCATCAGCCTTGGGTTGGGCTTGTTCACTACCACTCAACACCCAGACTGTGCAGGTCCCTGTGGCTGTGAGACTCAAGTGCATCAGCCTTGATGCACTGTAATATCTATTCCCAAACCTTGGACAGCACAGGTATACCTAGGCTAGTACTCACAGATGGAGCCTTTAGAATTTCCCTAGATCTGTACCCCAGTGGGACAGATTTGTCTTTTGGCTTGACTCACCAGCA